CCAGTTCACAGCCAACTCATCGGGAAATGACACACCCAACATAATCAACCTATCGATGTGTGATTTCATTCCTAGAATGTAGGCACACACGGATTTACCATCTTCATGTTTAATTTCGAATAGGGCCTTAGTGATATTGAACCTTTCAATTATTCGATCTTGTGGGTTAGGGAGAACAATTGGAGGAGGTGGAGAAAGTGAAACATGATTTCTTGTTCCTCGATCGAATCGTGGAATACCATCTTCATGTGGAATGCTTGTTCCACGGGATTTGGGAAGATCATGGTTGTCGAACTTTGACATCTACAAAACGGGAGAAAAACAAATTCAAGTTAGTTGATTGATTGATTGAGTCCTTAGTAAATCACCCAAATGAGATACTAAGGCTAGGACCCAACACAATATGCTACAACCTAGAAAAGGGATGCCGTAATCTAGTTGCAGAATATTTGAAGGTAAGTGAATGACGATTCACCAATTTCCACCATGAAAAAACGAAAAATAAATTTAAGTTTTAAATCTATGAAAACTCCTAGAACCTTTGAGATTCATTGAACATTTCAATGGCATGTTTAAATCTCGATATGCCCCTCTTGTTTGTAACTGGGATGCCGAGGATCACAAAGCGGGTGTGAATAACCATGCAAACTTACATGGTGCCCTCACATGTTATACACCTATTCGATGTGCCGGTAAACCACACACGCTCCACCGAACTATGACAAACATTGAGTCACCCTTTGCTACCTTTGCTTAGAACCATTTAGTGTGCCGATAAACCACACACGCTCCACTAACATCTTCGCAAGGGCACAAAGTGTAATTTCATGGAATTGCATCAATTCACTTTGCCTAAGTAACTATGATTGGGAATTTGTAAAAACATTTAGTTACTTTTGTATTTCATTATACTTATAATGGAAGGTTTCGTCCTATCCTACCCGTTCGGCTAACGACCCTCCACTAGTCAAGAGTGCGGTGGGTAAGAGTGGATACCCATTCAATCGCCATTTTATAGGCAATTTCCTTAAACACCCCATATATAATGTTAGACTTTTAATGTTATATATAGTATATAGGTGCATTTTACACTTTTAAAATATTAGGTGATCAAATTTAACAATTATACTTTTAATTCAATTAAATTGTAAACCTAAACTTTTATGGATTTATTAAACTTATTTTAATTATACACCTTAATTAATTAATAAAACCATAAGGGTTTATTGAACTTTTCAAAACATTACTAGGGTTTTAGAATTTAACATTCCTAATTAAACTTTTAATCAACTTTTAAATTCCAAAGCTTGAGGGCAAGTTTTGAAACATTTCAAAACATTAGGGTTTAGAATTTAAATATACATCACAATTAAACTATTAATCAAAATTTAAATTCCAAAACTTGAGGGCAAGTTTTGAAACCTTTTTCAAAACATTAGGGTTTTAACTATTTAAATTTCAAAACTACAAAACTTTTGGGTTCAAATTTAAACTATAAAACCTAAAGGGCAAAATATGAAACTTTTCATAACAACAAGGATCAAATAACAAATAATTCAAATTAACATTTAATCACATAATTATCCATATTTGATTTATTTAATGATTTATTGCAAAACAATTTATCAATTTACTCAAAATAATTAATCAATTATCACATAAGGAAACAATTATCTTATTAATTGATAAATATCTTCAATTAGATCAAAATTATAGTCAAATATATCATATAATCGGATTAATATTGATCTAACATGATAAGGTAACTATCCATAAGCAAAAACAACAAGAAAACCCGAGATACCTCCATCTGACGAGTCCAGCCTCCAAAAACCCAAAAAATGAATTTTTCAGTTATACAATGCATCAATACAATTGAAACCAAGCTAGGCTCTGATACCACTGATGGGTTTTGGTCATAAGACATCCTATGTGCTCATACAAACCCTAATGCTTGGATCTAGGTTTCTCTATTGTACATGCTTTGAATCCAAGACTATAAACACTAATTCTAGCATATGGAAATAGATATTAACATATAATTAGGTTTAAGATGTTACCTTGATTGTTACGTAGCAATAACAATCCTAATTCCTCCTTGAATTGACTTTGGAATGCTTAGAGTCACAAGTATCACTCCTCTAATGGCTTACAAACACCAAGAGTAAATGAAGAAGGTATAAAGAGCGAGGAGAGAGGTAGGAATTCATCCTTATGAATTCTTGGGAAGGCTTAGACGAATTCATGAGCCTTAGGGGGTTTATATAGGTGTAAAGATTAGGGTTTTAGTCCTTATCCTTATCTAGTTGCTTGCCTACCAAGTAACCATAAGATAAGTCTTAGAAACCCTTATCCTAGTCGAATTCTAAGGCATTATCTCCTTAAATTCGTTCACCCTATATTTAAGATAATCGTTACCTTATTTTGTAACTATCAGATAATTACAAATCAGCCCCTCTAGTTTAATTAATTACACTTGATCACAAAATTAATTCGTAATTAATTATTGACCAATATTAATTAAACAAATATGATTTCTCCTTTAATATATTATTCTTATAACATATTAATAAATCATAATAACCTCTCTCTCTTTATTTATTTCTCCAATCAAGTTGCTTTTGTGAAGGCAACCAAAAGGA